TATTTCGATAGCTAATACGTATTTAGTTTCTCATACAAAAAAAAAAAAAAAATCGTTATTACTTATGCAAAGCAATACAAATAAAAGCGATAAGAAAAAAAGTTAAACATGATAAACATTCTTTGAAAGTTTAAAGAAATTTGTTTGGATTGACGTTACGGTATCTTAATGTTTATAACAAATAAATGCAATCAAACTACACCTCAGTATAAAAATATATAGTTATCAAAAGAGTTTTTTTAAAACATCAGGTAATTAAATCAAAAGTAATTTTAAAACTGAAAATATATACGTCTTTTACAACAAGGCGAGTGTCATAATTCACAATTTAAAAAACATATTTTACATAATAAAACTGCATTGTATACATGTATAAGATTATAGATATACGAGTAACTGTAAAGAATCATTCATAAAGCAACAAATTCTATATTTTCCCATACACACAACAACAATATTATTTATTTAACGAGAGTTGTGTCCATAGCATACTTCTCTTTTTAGGTTTATATTTCATGTGGGGTCAAGTGTTTAAGTAATAAATGATAAAAAAAAATATATTAACTAATACACTTCACAAACACGTGACTGAGGAAGCTCTAGTTATTGATAAGAAAAGGATTTCTCATCAAGGGTCACAGTCACCATACCTGGTGACCTTTCATCTTATAAACCTAAAAATCATTTTGGTCCATATACTGGTCATGTTCATTGTCCTAATTAATTCACAAATCCACAGCTTATTCCTTATGTAATTATTGACCGGCAAATTATTTAACAATAAGTGACACTGTGACCTTGACCTGTGACGGAATGAACTCAGAACTATAGGAATCATGTACTGAATTAATTATATCTAGTACAAAAAGCATTCTTTTATAACAATATCACTTAAGCAACTCTTTCACATTTGCTGTATGAATTGTTATTACCTAATTTTGAGCAAATTTGGATTTATTTTACTTTTATACGCTGGCAAGTATGTTTTTCCTTAATGCCAATTTATCAATAGTACTTATATTATAATACTTTGGAAGTTATAACGTCATAGTACTCAGTTTTTTTTGTTGTTGTTTTTTTTTTTGGGGGGGGGGAGGGGCGAGTGGGGCATAAGCATTTGTAGACGTCATGTTTTGTCGGTTGACAGTTATAGATAAAATAGTCTTGAACTGTTATTTTTTTGGTATGGCTACTAGATCCGTTCATAATGCAGTTTGTAATTTAATTGCCAAATGCCAAATCAAATCTATTCTCTAACCATAAATATCAGAAAATAATTGTTAAAATAAGGATAAATGCTTGATTATTTTTTTTGTTTGTTTGTCTGTTTGTTTGTTTGTTTGTTTTTTGTTTGATTGATTGATTGATTGATTGATTGATTGATTGATTGATTGATTGATTGATTGATTGATTGATTGATTGATTGATTGATTGATTGGCTGATAGATTGGTTGGGTTTTAAGTCAAATTGACTGTTCGAATATAAAGATTTTTTTTATTTCATTAACCAAAAGCATATTAAATACAATCAATTACATTTACATACATCATTTTGTTACTAAATATAAATACATGTCTGCTTCAATTAAATCCACATTCAATAACCGCACGTCACTTATTCCAAAGAAAAAGAAAACATTAATAATAAAAAAATAACATTTTTCCACTTGAAAGAATAAGAAAAAAGGTAGATACAACAGAAATTAACAAAGAAAAAACTCTTAACAAACCTGAAACAAAGTAACAAAATACAATTAAGACAGACACTCACGTACTTGCACTCAAAAAATTAAATAGAGACAAGTGAACAAGTTTCGTTTCATTTTGTAAATTTTATGGTTTAATTACATATTTTCTTTGTTGCTATCATCAGTTTTTATTTGTTAGAGTATCAGATAGTTTATTCCGTTTTTGTTTGTATGAGTCAACTTTGTCATTTGACAATGCAATTTCTTCTTTAATCTGTATCACCTTAATAGCAACAAGAAGTCGAGATGGCCCTACATCGCTCACCTGACCCATCGAACTCATCCAAGCAATTACTTATACAGCATCCTAACAAAGTTTGATGACAATTGAGTCAAAAATGTGACCTCTAGAGTGTTAACAAGGTTTTTCAATATTTGGGCAGTGTGGTCTAGTTTTTGACTCCAGGTGACCATTATTCGAATTTGACTAGAAATCATCAAAACAAACTTTCAGACTAATTTCCAGGATATTTGGATCAAAAAACAGAAGCCACTAGAGTGTCAACAATATTTTTTCTGTTTTTAAGCTCCTGTGACCTAATTCTTCAATTGAGATGACCCATGTTCGAACTCATCTAGACAGGCATTCTGACCATGTTTGATGTCAATTGAGTCAAAAATGTGACCACTAGAGTGTTAACAAGGTTTTTCCATATTTGAGCGGTGTGACCTAGTTTTTGACCCCAGGTGACCCATATTCGAACTTGACCTAGAAATCATCAAAACAAACTTTCAATCATATTTCCAGGATATTTGGATAGATACAGTAGCCACTAGAGTACTAACAAGATTTTCAATTTTTAGCTCCTGTGGCATTGTTGTTCATCTGAGATGACCCATGTTCAAAGTTCCCCAAGAAATTACCTGAACAAGCATCCTTACAAAGTTTGATGATAATTGATGCAAACAGTGACCACTGGAGTGTTAACGAACAAATGTGGACAGACGACGGACATTCAACGATACTAAAAGCTCACCCTGAGCTAGCTCAGGTGAGCTAAAAGGTTTTTAAAATATCAAATTTGGATTACTCTTTTTGGTATTTCATTTTTTAATGTAATATTTCATTTCAATAATGATATTTTTACTTCATCACTCTTTAAAGTGTTTGTAACCCCTTCAAAAATATATTGACTCTATGAAAAACTGATATTTATTGACTCTATTAAGGTTATATATGTCTAATTCTAGCTTTAATGGTGGAAGAAGATCGCGTTTGCCCCTTCGTGCATTTTCAGGCACGAGCAAGCAATTTGGTAGAACGTAAGCTAGCTTGATATCTAACCCAAAGAAACATTTAAAATTCCCAGCAATCAAAAACAGGGATGAGATGAAAGATGTCCGATGTCAAAGAATCACTCGGTCACAATAGCCCCCAATTGGAATATATAAAAGGCATGATTAAAGTAATGAAAACAAAAGCCATATTATTCTATATAATATATGATACATGTCGGGTTTGCATCAATTAATGATCATTTATTCATCATTTTTAAACAGCATTTGTGGTTTAAAATGTCTCATACTTTTAACTCTGTTTGCTAGAAGTGCAAATTGTGTGTCTTAAAAGTTCCCTGTTTTCTTATCTATTTATTTTTTAATTGAAAATCTCTTATGTGCACTGTCGACACTTCTAATTGTTAGTTTTGCTCCATGAATATATTGGAAAGAATATGCCAAACCACGGTTTCCATTTACAAGCATTAATGCTATCTTGATCTCCAACCAGAATATCTCTTAGTGTCTCCATGTTGTTTTGACTTACCTTGATTGAAAATAAAAGTAAGCAACTTACGTTATAATACATAGATACATATTTACGTTTTAACACATAGATACACGTCTATAATAACGAGCGTATCAAAGACTTAAAGAATGTGGTATTTTAAAATAATGTATATGTAGACAGTTAGGTTTGACATAAAACGAATATCTGTCAAATAGTTATATATACAATTTTGAAAATGGAAATTAGTGAACTAAAACTACTGCCGATTGTCATTTGTACCACACTAATGTGCAAAGATAACAATGGATCGTCTGTTAAGGTGACAAAAAAACTTTGGGGGCATAAAGAACATAGAAGTGTAAACAAATCATTTGGCTCTATCTACAAAAAATATATAACTGAGCATTTGAAAATTCATGTACTAGTTTCAGAGATATCATGACATTTTCTAGCTGAAAAGAGATGTGAGCCTTTAGTAGTTGAATGAGGGAGTTAGTGAGTGAGTGTGCGAGCGTCTGAAGTAATTAACATTTCTAATCTTATTGATTCTTATATTTTCTGACTTTTAATAATATTTAAAAATCACTGGCACATCTTTTTCCTGTCACTTAAAGATTTATGCTCTTTCTTGAGTAATAATATTTTTAATCACAGAAATCAATTTTTTTCAAAATCTATGAAATTTTAACAGAATATGTCCCTTGTAAATGAAAGGAAAGGAAATAAATATGTATGGAAATCAACATTCCCTATTGCAGGTCAAGTAAGGTTGGTCTCATCTTTAAAAAAAACTGCAAGATTTTAATTGACACTATATATGGATATTGTGACCACCTATAGTGTTTAGAATCTTACACATATCTACTTTGTGTGAAATCAAAACATGTTTATTCTACAAAGAGTCCTCTGTAGCAATTATCAATGTTTACTAATATCAAATTTGAGCATAGTGATATCTTTAAAAAATCATTTCTATTGAAAGATTGAAATTTTACAAGTACAAAAGAATTCGTTTTTTAAAATTTATGGACAAGGCCAAAACATTCGCCCATGCTTATTATAATCAAAATTAAATGCCCTATGGAAATAAAAGAAAATAATACCATATCTCCAGCAGACCCTAACTCCCTGTCCTGCTGTTGATATGTTATTTGATTGTTTGTTTTATCCTACAAGAGAAAAAAGCAATTTCAAGAAGACAGATATAGGACCATTCATGTTATAATATACATACAATTCTAAACAAAAGCATCAGTTACTTTAAATTGTGCACTATTCGAAAGAAGTAAAACGTTACTTTGCCAGTCACAATAAGACTTAACTTCAAAATCAAACGTTCTTGCTACTACTTCTGTATGCTGAAATGTCAGTTTTGGAACCTCTACAGCATACAATTTAACCTTTGCAATCATGTTCAAAACAGAAATATTATATTTGAAAGTTAAAACATAATTATTTAAATAACCCAGTTACCTTTACAACCTCGTAGGCGCTATTGAACAATGCTATGAGAAATTTGAAAATTAAAATAGTAAAACAAAGACACGTAGGCGTAAATAACCACTCTTAGAAACAAAATGAACAGTTTTGTCCCCAGCATATTCGTCTTGAAGTATGGCAAACGTCGCAAATATCTCATCTCCTTGACTCATAGAGAATAATGTTTCTGCAGCAGTGGACATTTTCCTAAACTGAAATAAAAATAAAATACTATTTATTGAAACATGCATAGTATTTTGAATAGAGACATTGACTCATTTAGCAGACATTCTTTCAGGTTACATCGTCATGCCGTGAGATATTTTTAACATTCTGACTTACATTAAAAACATCCTTTATGTAGAAATAACGAATGACTTATGCATTTCATCTCAATGGTTTCTTCTTTCAAATCATAGATTCGAATACCATCAGCTTTAAATACTAAATACTGCTTTAATGTCAACCACTAATAATATAAATGTTTTGTTTTTCTTATTTAAACAGAGATACGTAGATAAATGCTAAGCCTTATAAAAACGTGCTTAAGTAATTCGTTGTGTTATTTTCCAGTAATGAGATTGTTAACTTTTGCGACTCTTTCCGATGATGACGTAGGGATATCCCTCAAATATATATGCGGCACTCATGCACCTCTGAACATTTCCAACAATATATCAAACTCTCTTAGTAAACCAATATTTGGTTATAAATCGCTCAATATTATATTCTAAACGATTGCCCTTATACTTCCAATACAAATTACTTTTCAATAATTCATATAAGTAAAACCGGAGGAGATATTGTAACATTAATCAATTCCGAGGTTAGTGCAATATTAAATGACTTTAAAAAAAATGTTTTCTCCTTCATCTCCCCAATAAAAGCCCACCTACCCTACCCTACCAAAAGGAACACTACAATAAATTTAAACGGAGGGATAAATCTACGTCGTTTTCTGATTTGAGGTCGCGCCTCCTTGACGAGTATCTGCTCTTTCAATACTAGGTTTTTTTAACAGTTACACTTAAACAATGACTGACAGTCTAATTGAAAAGTTTCTTCAAGAAATGAGGTTAACTAGTTATCCGGTGCTAGAGGGCGTAGCAGATGATGAATCATCATCTATCATCAAAAATCTAATCTTGTAGTATTTTTTTTTCACTGTTCTACAGGGATTTTTTCCAAAATTCATATGAACTTGCATTTCTGTTCATATAACATTTATCAGCATTTAAATCAAAATTCAGAAAATAATGATTTAAATAATTCCTTCAATATGTTGTTTTCTTAGATCAGACCATTACACAGTCTATCAATACTTCAAAAATGAAAGAAATATGATTATTTACCTTAATATGGTAAGGTCCTAGGACAATATAAGAACATGACCAGAATCCGACAAACATTAGTACTACGCAAGTAAGAAAAAAAACTATATCAACTGCTGCCTTTCGGATGGTTTTGACTAAGAGCTGAAAAATGAAATACATAAAATTGCACTTTTTAATACATCTAAGGACTTGCATATTTTATTACATCTAAGGACTTGCAAAATGTTCTGTACATATCAAACGGATTTTTTTTCTGTTGTTTTTTTTTTTCTTGTGTATGTGTGCGTGCTGCGTGTGTGCGTGTGTGTTGTTGTTATACAAATCTATATATATTTAGTCCATATACTTAAAGTATCAGTTTATATCATGCAACTGGGTTCATTCTGAACTTTCAAAATTGGAAAACAATTCTTACATTATTTTACATTTTAACACTTTTTTCATTGAACAAACCAATCATCATAATAAAAATATTATTTATCCAAAAATTTAAATAGATTTTACAAATAAAACAAAGGAGAAAATAATAGTGCGCAGTACTATTGATTTGTTAAAAAGGCATTGTACAGAATATTTTGCTAGCGATAAAGGCTTTTTAAGCGTGAAACCGTTTATTTTAGTCAAAAATCTAAATATCTAACAATGAACACAGAGAAAAATAAAATATATGCAGAATGGTTAAATGGAAAAATGACTATTAAAACCTATATGGAAGGCCCTTGTGTCCCCGAGAAATTTTAAATCTAAAATTTTGAGAACACTTCACCATTCATGACATCATAAACTCCTAATTAGGCTTCTTCATTTCCTACGTAGGAGTTGTAAAGTCCTAAGTAAGAGTTAAAAACTCCTAATTAGACTTTTTATCTCCTACGTAGGAGTTATCCTTTTTTTAAATCATTATAAATTGGCACCAGGACGCTTTCGTAGTTTTATATTTTGACTTCTCTTGCAAATGTATTTTTTTCTGAGAAGTTGTAGTTGTAAATAATCCACCTTATTTTCCTGATGTAAGTCCTTGTTATTCCTTTTATTGTCAATACTGAATTGAACGATTTCTTTAAGAAACACGAGTCCAAAAGGCCTTTTTGTGACTTTTTTAAATAGAGTCTCAAACAGATACCAAAATAAAGCTTTACTGGAATTTGCTTTTTAATCGTGTAAAACGGCTGCAAAAGAATTTTATTGTACAAATTGATATAATTGGAATGTCTGTAACAAAGGTAAGAAGCACTTATAGCTTACGGTAAATTTATTATGTATCCTGATGAAGCGCGCGTATGAAAACCAAGTTAAAAGACATCCAAGGCCCAGTACAACAAGATTGACGTCCCAGTTCTTCAATAATACCTCTTCGCCAGATAACTCTCCCTTCAACTGCAAAAATCATGCTTAATTATATACGTGGTATTTAAGAAGCGCAGGATAAAAACGTCATACATTAGCAGCTTAGAGAAGAGATACAGTCATATCGAGATAAATATATAGATGCGTTGTCATAAATAATCTAATAAAGCAATATACATTTGTACTCACATATTTGCAATTCGATAACAATTCAGCCAAGATTTCAAAACAAAATTTAAAACTAAAAGTTTAAAATCTTGTGTAAAAACTGTCCTACCATTTTCCTTATCCACCAGATGCCATGCAATGTAAGACAATCTCCTGTGACACAGATTACATTCCACCATTGAACATTTGAGAAACATTCGGAAACAGAGTATCTTTTTGACGAGATGTAGAAATAACCAATATTTAGCAAAATAAGAAATATATATTAAGTAAATAAGTTGCCACTACATATACGTGCATTTCAACCTATTTGTTGTTTTGTGTAGATCATTTGATGTATAAACATGTATGCTACTGTATAATCTATTAAACAAAACTAAGCCCTTGTAAGATCCTGTGGTAGGTATGCATTTAGTAATATCAATATATAAAAGCAACTTGAAGACAAATTAGCTAGGTAACTAAATATCTTCACATTTTTTAAGTAAGAATGTTATCCGGACTTTACCATTGAAAACTTTTATTTTGTACCCACAAAAAGTAATTTATCTTATTAAATAGGGTACTTACATAAAGAGACATTTTCATTTCAGGCGAATTTGAAAATTGTATGAAACAGACTTAATACAACTCAAATATAAAAAACAAAGTACAATGTATGCTTGACATATATCACTGACTATGATAATCCCGGCTAAAAACAGTATGGTATCTCCAATAACGGTCGTAATTGCAAACCCTTCAACTATACTGCACTCATATTCTTCCACCTCTTGTTCACACTGCTTATGATCTGTAATAAAATATGTATTTGATCACAGTAGTATGGTCCTCATTGCAATTGATTTGTTTGCTTTTGTTTCATCAAGCTCTGAAAGTGATTTGATTCGCGTATTGCAAATCATTTGCTTATCCTTATCTATAATCGTTTCACACTGATCGTAAAAACCCAGATCTTTTTCATGTTTAATGGTCACCTTTGCAAATCATTTGATACTTTTTAGTCTAAATTGTTTCAGTCGAAAACGTCTTTGGTGTACTAAATTAATAGTGTCCTTTCTATGTGTTGTTTGCCTCTGTCAAAATTAGTATAGCCATACATACCACATTCAGTACAACAGAAAACATATTCCACAATTAACTAACCATTGGTAGAAAAGTCACACGTGACAGGATACGTGAGAGTTGTTAATTTGATGACTACCTGTCCGTTATTGTTGAGGTTGTTAAACGAAACCTAAAATTAAGGTAATATTTTACTTTAGTGAAACCTTTATAACAGAATCTCTTTTTAAGGTTTTTTTGTTTGTTTTATAAAAGCAAAAGTATGCCCTTTTATTTAATTCAAGTGAATTGTTAGTGTCTTTTTCAGTTTGAGTAAAGATATAGAAAATTATTTTAAAGAACTAAACTTAAGTCTAAACATTTATGCGTAAATGATTTAATTTCAATTTCTTACGTAACTCCACTGGGGTTTGCACTTAAAACGAAAACATGCAAAGTATCATTAAAAAAAAAGATTATAAAAATTATGACCCAAATATTTTTCGCTGCATTTTTTTCTGTAATCATATTTAATTTATTAAAACATGCAAATTTTAAATATATTGTGTCGTACAGTTTTCAGTTTTCCTGAGTTTCTTTATGTTACTATATCGTAAGATTATAAAGTAATCAAAAACTTATAAAAGTTTAATCTTTTATGTCGTATTATTCTGATCCAATAAGGCACAATAAATTGAAATAATCAAAGGCAAAAATCTGACGATTGGGATACCGTTTTTATGATTGCCATTTGCAATAATTTACAATCAAACATTTAACATGTTATAAATGGAATATTATATAATAGAAATTGTCAATATAATCAGAACAAATGTTGGTAGATGTAAAGTTGAATCGCTGTTGTTTAGCCGTTACGTAAATGGAAAGCTTCCTAATGTAAACGAATCCAAAGTCACTGTCATCAACAGAGGTGAGCGACATGTGATTTAAAATTGAGAATCAATCAGGACAGATCAAGATGCATTCCAAAATAAACTTACGGTTCCATTAATACGGAGGCATCTAGTATTTTGGCTGTCCCAATCAACTCTTATTGAATGTAGTGCAAAGTTGACATCCAGCTTTAGCATCCTAAACAATAAAAAGATTGTCATTGATTATCATAAAATCATGTTTGAAAAATGTGTTTATTCAGGTTGAACTGAAGGGAAGGTTAAGTTTGGTTGAACAATTCTCGGATCCTCTGCCTGAAAATTACCATTATTTTTATATGAAATGGTGCACAGCATGGACAATGACTATTCTCAGCCATTCGAAGGAACAAAATGTTGATTGACTCTTTTTTATCAAGAAAGAACGATTAAATTTTATAGCCTGTTTAAGTGTGTTTTTTTTTCGAATTTCAAGCAATTTTATTGGCTGGTGTAAAGAATGGGCAGTGTCTATTGCTCAGCCATTCAAATGTAGTTTCTTTTGACTGACTCTTTTTATCGAAAAATGCATTACTGACATAGCTTTTTTAAGAATGTAATAAAATTCCGAACAATGTCATTGGATTTCTGGTGACTATGAACGCTAAAGTGCATTTAGTTACTAGCTGAAATTCATTGATAGTGTCTAGGATGTTTGAGAAAAAGCAGAAAAGAGAATAAGATAAAAATTAAGTGAACCTATGAAGAACAGTTGAGAGATTCATTCTGTCCAAATCTTTGGTAAGATCGTATTCGTATTCTGTAATGTTCTCTGTGTTTGTAAACTTAGTTAATCCAAGGCTTGGCTCAAAATTGTACCATCCTGGAAAACAATGCATATATACATCTTTCATTTAAGCAAGATCTAAATCTATAAAAACGAACTAAGTATTTCAGCGTTAAATATGATCACCCACATCACCGCAAGTTTAACTATTATCATCATCTTCTATTTTTTACTCATGGTTAGCTATATAAACCTGTACAAAAGATTTCAGCTGACTTAATTTAGACTTGCAGCCACCGTTTATCCCTGCGTTATCGTAAGAGGCGACTCAATGAGTTTGAAACACTGAAGTTTATGCATGTCTTAGCCCCAGCATTTTCTTATGTTCTAGATAAAATATGATTGCTTACCTCTAACGTTAACTTTTGAGACAGTTCCATTTTGATTTTTTATAAAATCGTAGTAACCAATTTTGATAGTGACTTGATCATCAGGTATTTTTATAAAATGACCATTTGCCTCGGCTTCAATATTGTAAATCTGTAAAATAAAAATCGTAAATTCGTTTAAAATAAGTTTGTTATACATTATTCGAAATAAATTCTCGTATGAAAACAAAAGTCAATTATGATACACGTTTAACAAACAAGTATTACAAAACAATATGTAAAAAAAGTGTTATAATTGACATGATTAACATAAAAGAAATACATAACATTTTAATTCTGCGAGGATTTTATGAATCTACATTGTAGTCTAACATTGCAAAAATTCCATTTTATAGCTAAATTCAAAACGACTAGATGTATTTAAGTTCCAATAAGTAAATTTTCCTACCCCGTTATGTAGTTTTTCTATACTAGATTATAAAAATAAATATAACTTATAATAAATTGATGACTTATGTTTGGAAAGAGGTGTTGTTTCGAATGCCCACTGAAGCCATAAAAAAATCTTGTATCCTTATTTTTTGTGTACAATACAGTTTCCGAAAAGGTTACTCACTGACCATAAAGATGATTTATCCTTTATTTCTTTGACGTTTCTTTACAATTAGTACAGTTAAAGTGATTTAGTATTTAGTATGGCAATCAAAATACCACTCTTTTTAAGATTTTCATACCTTTTTTGACAAATTATTTTACATTTAGCTCTACTACCTTTAACTGATAAGATTTACACATGCTAAAACAGTATAACACACATGTTTGCCTATTCTAATGAAGAAAAAACGTTATTCCTAAGGCTTAAAGTGCCTTTTTAATTACTACTGAATTTAAAACAACTTTCCTGAGAAACAGTATAATCTATTCTACTCTTAAGATCGTCAGTGGTATATGAAGCAAATTGTCCATGAGCTGGTGGGTATGGCAAAGTCTCGAAACCTGGCGAACATAAGACATAACTCAAGTAGTTTATATTGATTAAGCAATTAATATTCTGACGTTTAACAGAAGTTTAAATATCAATATATGACATTTAAAGAATAACAGGAACAGGGTGTTTGAGCAAATATCATCAGATATTACAACATTTTTTTTAAGATAAGCATTTCTTTAATATTATAAATAAATGATAAATTATTACTTACTTGCGCTCCAGTCTTTAAGCAATGTATGCTGAAGAGTTATGTATCCGTCTGTCACAGTGAAGGCGAGTATTTCTCGGCAGTGACCAATCTTGAATGTCTAGTGCAAATTAAAAATTATAAATAACTTTATGAAAATATAACAAGAAATTAACATATATGGAACATTTTAAAATATTGATTAATGGTTGGGAGTTTATTAATAACATAAATTATAGTTTTCCAATCAAATCGTTACATTGAGATAGTTGTTTCTCACCGCTGTGGGTTCTAATCCAGCCAAGGACTTTGTATTTTAGCATGTAAGACATCTATAAATCTAGCTTATGGAACGTTGTGGTTCTACTCCGGTGCCCGTCGTGCTGGTTTAAGGTACCGAGGGGCACCTGGGGTCTTCCTCCACCTGTAAAGCTAGAAAATCAGCACATAACCTTTACAGTTTTGGTGATTTTATCACACCAAAAATAATACAAAACAAAAACGTCTACGCTGAATGTCGATACAATCTCGAAATAAAGAGGGACAAAACAGAGATCTGTGATGCATTATAATCTTACATTTGTCCAAAATTTCATGTACTGGATTTGTATAAGGAGCAAATCACTTTTGCTTTATATCGATTATCTAAAGCTGTTACAGTATAACTTCTGACAGAGAGGCATTATGAGGAGAAACAAGTCACAATACATTTGAGCCGCGTCACGACAAAACTTACATAGTGCGTTTGCGACCAGCATGAATCCAGACCAGCCTGCGCATCCGCGCCGTCTGATCAGGATCCATGCTGTTCGCTTACCAACTCTATTACAAGTAGAGAAACTGATAGCGAACAGTATGGATCCTGATCAGACTGCGTGGATGCGCAGGCTGGTCTGGATCCATGCTGGTCGCAAACGCACAGTGTTGGTTTTGTCGTGACGCGGCTCATTTTACCTATCAAGAGCAGCACCTTTCAGCAACAACTAACATATTTGTCTCCCAAAAGATGTTGCTCTGCAGAGGATGTACTTCAATTCAAACACGTTTCAAAAAACGTCATTAAAATCGTCATATAAGTGTTCATTGGTCATCTAAATAATTGGCAATAATTAACAACAAATAAAAATGTCTTAATAGTCTTTTTTCGTACAGAAATGAGGATAATTGGCATAAGAAAAAAATAACACTAATTTTTGTTACGTGTTTTTCACTGCACCTGGCCCCGAGGTTAGAAAGATTTTAGATCAGTCTCAAAGCTCATACCTGCCTCAACTTTGAGATCAAACTCGTGTTAGTTGAGGTTATAAAAGTTTCGAGTTTGCATTCAATCTGAATTTGAAATCGGAGTCTCAGGTAAAAAAAAAAACCTTTCTAGGGTCTTGCCTAATACCCTCGAGTTTACAACAAACATGACTCTCCGTCATCCAGACGGTTTTTTTAAATTCAATTCTTTTTAGACCATATATACCGAACTTTTTAACATCTAATCCTCTAGAAGATTAAGTAGATCGTAGATAAACAAACCCGACACGATCTCGTGAATCTCACCTTCATTGCAGTGAGGTATGTCTCGGAGCACTGATCTGGTAAAGCCCCAGTCACATTAGAGCTTACGACCAGTGAAGACCAGTTCACGATCTCCAGTGACCTCTGGTCGCGGACAATCTTTAAAACGTCTTACGACGGTCATCGGTGATCTTTGACAGTCGCAGGTTATCTTATTAGGGTCCCACGACCAATTTCAGTCGTAGAGAGGTTTTTGAGCTTGCACAAAAACCTCCTTGCGATCAAACAGGTCGCTAGTGATCTTATAAGGTCTTAAGGCTGTCGCACGATGGTCGTTCGGAAGTGCGACAATCTTACGATAGTCTTTACAAATTGCCACTAGTCACTGATAATCTTAAGAAGTTTTTAGTAATCGTGTGATGGTCGTAAGACAAGTTGTAGGTGATCGCATGTTATGTCACGGGTAGTCGTAAGTAATCCCAGGCAATCTTGAGACCATCGTACGTTTACTTATGACCTGTCGTGCGATTGTCAATGATGACTTGTCTTACGATACTCGCAAAAGTAAATTTATCTGTGCAAAAAGGGTTTTGGTCGCAGACAATCGCTGATGATCGTCAGTTTTACAAGTCGCCGGTGGTCGCAAGTAATCTTAAGCTCTAGTGTGACTGGGGTTTAAATTGTTAAATAACCTCGGGGTCAGAAGTATCAGAAACAAAAATTAACTTACAAGCAATGTAAGGAAAACAAGTTTAGTTGTATGGATACCGAACCATATTAGATGAAAAAAGCTTAATTTGCATTTGTCATCATGCAATTTTATTGGTGAATACACACACAGCCGAAAGACGAATGCCAATTTGTAATTGAATGGATCTGAAATTATAAAACTAGATATGTTTTATGATTCATTACAAGGCATGCGCTGCATACATACATGGCATATTATAATATTATAATTCATGGATGTTATGATATAAACGCGGCACGCGCTGCCTACAGGAAATTCAAAAAAAGCTCAGTTTTAAAATTTAAATTAGAAATATACCTTTACATAATGAAATACTAGAAATGCTTCAATAAAATTTTAATTAGGGTGTACATTTACCACGCCTCTTGACACCGGTTCTAGTAGGTCAGTCTTTAGTCTTTAACAGTTTTACACTTACAGTATCTAAATAATTACAAGTTAAGGTCTCATTACAGCTGCATACCTCGAGATGAATTAAATAACAAACGTTCGACAGATATACTTTAGATTTTCAGAAATGTACTGTAAAGACTTTAAAAATTAAACTAATAAATTACATGTAATGTGTGATAAATGACAGATTATGCATTATTCATCACCAAATTTCTATTGTGGCACTTACGCAGTAAAGATTATTTCTGCACATGTTGACCTCTTTTTTGGTAATTAACATGACCTGCGTTGTAAGTGCTGTTCGCTTTAAAATATTTTACTTTCAAAATTATTTTCAAAATTTATTCCTGACAATTAATCTGAATCTGGAGGCATGTTGCTTAAAGAAATATAATCATATTGCATACTCATTTCTTTCCATTTGTCAAGTACATACACATGTATTAACATATATACCTGGTTCTGTCGATGGACCATTCTGCAAATAAAGTTTCTTTGTTTCTGTATTTTATGTCAGCTGTACGAGCAATGTAAATAATCATTTGAATTATTTTTATCAAATTGACACTAAAAAGACAAAATAAACAAATGCTTTGACGTTACACAGATCTGAACTGTACTGAGTACTGAGTTCCGTTGTTTACTAATGTCCAAAAGCTAAATGTCGACAAAGGTTTTAAAACTGTTAAACTTCTAAATCAACCAGAAACAGACATTGACATGCACTTATTCGAAATATCTTACAGATATTGTTCCATTTGCTGATAAAGTTGATTGACTGCCAGAACTCTCTGTCAAAGGCTGATGTCCAAAATCTGAAATTTTAAAACACTTCAACTAAATATTTTACTTTTTTAAAATAGGAAAATTCAAAAAGAGTGTCTGTATCATTTAAAACGTCAATTTATTTACGAAGGTCAGAAAAGTTAATATTAAATTTAGATTTATATTCTAAAATGAGATTTTATACTAAGTTTATAAATATCCGAAATTAAGAAATTAAATTATTTAGCATTGGTGCCAGGTAAAATATATATTATGGAATCGTGAATGACTACGTGATGTGATTGCTATGAAAAGAAATCATGTGAAACACATTTTAAAGATATGTGCTTTACTTACCCGTTGGAGTTGATGGATTTGCCTATAATACATGTGTTAAAAGGCATATTTTGAAACTTTATAATCAGAATGGTAAAATTTATTAAAAGATAGATTTTATTCTTATAATCACACTACCCTTTTCTTTAAAAATATTCTTAATGTTTTTTTTTTTACAAGTTATGGTCAATATAGTTAAACGTAAATAAGATCTCAAAAAAAAAACAATCACACATCATTTAGCACTACCACCATAGTAAATCTTTTTCTAGACTTTGTCATAATCTATTTTGTTTGATTTAGATGATGTCAATCAAAGAAAGATTAACCTGTTTATTCTCAATTTAA